GAAAGCACCTGCAAGTTAAAGTTTTCATGCGAGAGATTCAGAAAAAGAAGCATCGAATTTTATATTGGCGATGGCATGTTAGAAGCAAGAATCTTGCATAATGCGATTCAGGCATGACATTATACTAATTCCAAGCGTGACCATCATCAATCCAATTGTTCCCACACCATCAAATATCCTTGGAAATCCTGAAATACTCCGACTATAACAATTTTTTTTTATCAAATACAGGGAATGTCATCAATGTCAAACAAGTATGCCAAAAAGGAAGAAGTGCCAATTATTTATTTTATTTTATTTTATATGAGCAACCAAACTCTTGCACAGATTTCTGAACTCTATTGCACCCATAACTTCTTGCATGAGCAACAACCTGACCAATTAAGTTAGCGGCCACCGTTCACGTGGTTATTAAGGCATGGAAAAGAACAAGAAATAGAACTTGCCAAGTAAAATAAAAGTAACTTTTAATGATAATGCTTTGATGGAAGGAAAATTCAATAAAAATGAAGATAGTAACTAGATGCGGAATAAGGTGGTTAGTTATTTTTAAATGAGGTATTAAAAGACAGTCCATGGTAAAGCCTAGCTAATAACCAAATGTGGCAGTGGAAAGAAGGTTCAGTTGACAGTTAAAGCTAGAAGAGAAGTCTGAAATTTTGCAAAAATATCAAAATGCAAGGAGGCTTTTGAGAAAGGTAAGATAGCTAATGGGAAGGAAAAAATGATCATCTCGGCAGTCACTCACAGAAGAGTATTGTATAGCCATCTTGGAACCAATAATAGGGATGAATAAGATATCTCGGCAAAGGAAAAGAAAATAGAGATCCTAACCAAGTTGTGTGAAAGATGAAAATCAGAAACTTATTTTTAACGATGAGATGAGATCACAAAATTTAGAGGAATTAATTCTGCAAGTTATTTAACAGAATGCATGTCGTGGATCTTGTAAATCTTTCGAACTCTATTAAAAATAGGCAAGTTCCTAGTTGGATAGTGTTCTTAGTAGTGTGTTAAGTTGTGAAGATGATTAAGAAGAGAAAAGCAATCGAATTTGATGGACCCAATATCCCAGGCACAGTGAGTATTCTATGGTTGACAACATTATTTAATGAGATCTGTGAGTGTAAAAAGATGGCCAAAAAATGGAAAGATGTACTCATAAATGAAAGAAACTCAAGATTGCACAAACTATAGAGAGATAAAGTTATGAGTTATACTATGAAACAATGGGAGTTGATGACTGAGCCCAGATGGTATATTCTGAAAGTATCACACAGCTAAGTTGTTTTTATGCTACAAAAATTTACCGTGAATTCTATTACATAATATATTATAGAGAACATAAGACGCATATGTTTTCTATTGATATGGAAAGAGTGTGTGATATTGTACCTAGGGAAGTGCTAAAATGGATGATAGAGTAAAAGTGATTTCAATTATATCAGGATTACGACATGTACGAGGGAACTATCATGAATGTTGAACTTAATGAAGCTACTGAAAGGAAATTGGAGAGCTTTGGAATACAATAGCTTTTTTAATTAGAACTAATACCAAATACACAATAACATTTTAGTGCATGTATAAAACAAAATTTCTACAGAACGATTATTACACCATCTATGCTTTATAGTTCCTTGGCTTATTAAAGACAAAATATCAATAAAATACATGCAAAAGAAATGAAGGTGTTAAGATGGATATGCAACCATTTAGAATAAGAACTGAGACCATACGCAAACAAGTGGAGGCAACACTAATTGTGTACAAATTAAGGAACATCGACATCTAGATGGTTGTCACTTGCGACAAGATACACAGAAACTCTCATTCACAAATACAATGTAACCCCAGCAAATATGTCAGAAATGAGAGGTGGACCAAAATTAACAAGGCTTTTCAATTGGTTGAAAAAAAATGATTTTCTTGGATATTCCAAAAAATCTAGCTCTATATCGAATAAAATGACGGAAAAGGATTTATGTAGACTCCAAATTTATTGAGAATAAGGTTAGCTTCTTGTTGTGTTTTAGGAAGAACTAAAATAACCAATCCTCTGAACAACCAAGATAAGCTATGCTTGTTGTGAGAAAAAATCAGCATGACCAATTCTGTGATAATTTTTTTTATAAAGATTCCTTGTTTACTAATTGCATAAGAAATTCTAGTTGTCATCACAACTAAATGTGATAGAAATTATATTCAAGTGAGAACTTTGTACCTAGCCGTGCCAACCGATTCACCCATCCAGGAATCCCTTTCCCTATCAATCTTTTGCTGATATCATCTGTAAAATGATTGCAGTTCTTGGAAATTAGGTGATAGGTGTTCCCATGATACTCAGAAGCTACACCCTCAATAAATGTACGAAATTCAGAGGGAGGGATGTTAAGATGACCCAGAGGGACAGAGCATCTATAAATGAAACCAGGACAGCTCTTAGGCTCCACTTCAAACACTCCGCTGATTGGGAAGTCGTGTGCTCCATACCCATATTCCTTACCATGAACTGAAAATTTTCATGAAAATAAAATCAAGGAATGTAACAAGTTATCAGATACAAATTGTTTGGATATAACTCCTCATCCAGTGGAATTATGCAAGATAAAGAGCACAAAAAATAATACAAGAGCATATGACTACGTGTCTTTGCGCTTGGAGGTGAATAATCCTTAACATTTCTATCAGTTAATATCCTTCGCCGAAAAACTTCTTGTAGCCATAATAGCGGAGATATGAAATTATATAATATTGAAGATTTACCAAGATTAGATACTTATTTTAAGAAAAGCAATTAGGGTTCAGTTTAAAAGATACTGTCAAATTTTATGTTATTGTTTTAGTTGTTATCCTAACTTGATTAGACTACTAGATGCCCAATATAAAGAGGGTCTATGCATTGAATAAAAACTATAATTCTCTCTCTCCAGTATCTCTCCTCTCTCAAGGATCTTTTCTCCCCCCTTTCTTCTATCTTCTTCCTCTCTCTTCTTCTTCTCTCCTCCCTTTCCCCTTCTTTCTATAGTTCTGGTTATTGTTACAAGCATTGGTGTCACATAATAATTAACTTAATGAAATAATGCACGTAAATATAATGACAAGAGAACAATGAAGATTGTGTCAGCACTGATTACTTCATATGATCAACGCCTACCTCCAGCAAAGGATTTCTATTTACTGTACTATAGTTACAAGATCAAAAGCCAGTAATGAACGTTACTGGACAAATCAAGATAGAGCATTTGTCCATCTCCGGACCACGCCGAGCTTAAGTAATCAGAAAGCAAAATAAGCACGCAACTTTAGAGTTATCATGTATTAATAAGTCTAAAGCTTTTTCCTACCTCATTTTAAGGGACTCGTTTACAAATGCAAAAAAAGCTATATACTTTCTAGTCTGCAGTCAATAAGATTACTAAATCTTGTTATAGATGTGAAAGTTAAAAAATTTAAAGGTTTCTTGGATGAGCTTTTGGCCATATACAGATGTTCACCAAATCCAACCTCTTCATTAGCTCCGACTCATTAAATATTTTCCAGTTGTACAATTATGTAATGGTCAGATGGTACGCAACAAATACTCCCTTCCCTTTCCCCCTTCTCTATCTTCGTGTGTGGGTTTAAGTGACACGTGTCTAGCATGTGCGTCTGCACACACAAATCAATCTATCTATGGGAGCAGCTCCTGTTCATTATGAATTATGCCCCTGTTTGGTCGAGATTAAAATCAGATTTTAAGTAGATTTTGATAAAATTGATGAAATATGTGGTTGAAAAAGTTGTGGGTCCCATGAAATATGTGGTTAAAATTAATTGTTGACTTTGACTTGAGATTTTAATTGGATTTTAANTTTAATCCAAACCAAACGGGGGCTATATTGCACAGCTATAGATGTTCAAAAGGCACTTTACAAGGGAACTTAATAAAAAAGAATTAAACAATATTGAAGTATAAACACTGAAACCAAGGTGGAAATAGATAACTTTAGGAATCAGATGAATGACACTACGGATTCAGAGAAGTTTCATTGATGCCCCCCTCCCACCCCCCACCCCCGGCGCCCAAAGCCCCATTCCATCACCCATATTATACTATCACCCTCCTTTTCTGTTTCATACATCATTTTTCCTTTACTTATCTTTCCTTTTTGTAAAACTTCGCCAGACATCTTCCCTGGCTAAGCCTCAAGTCGCAAATTTACTGCCCAAATGGAAATTATGTCCCTAGAATCCAGCTCATCTCCATCGTCTACTGCGCAGCATCCAGGGAGGTTTAAAGTTACCTAGTTGATCCATCCGTGATTTTTTATCTTTTCAGCTATCAGAATGCCCACATGTAAGTGTGGCAAGTGAAGCCATGTATTCGATGAATTTTGAGGCTAAACAAACACTGAGCATTATGCACTTAAAGTCCTAGCTTTTGGATGTGTGAACTCTTCTCCTGCCTCGCTTTTTCATAAGCTTATAAATGACATCAATAATCTGAATAGATCAGAAACAACTGAATTCTGCATAATATTACAAGAATCATTTAATGAGGCATAAGAATTGACCTATAGGGAAATGATGCATTTATCTAGATACACAATCATGCATCATCTGCATGTTGCTTTAGATGTACATTCACAGATCTATGTCATCACTCAATGATTTTATAATTATCAAAATTTGTCATTTGACTTGCCCATGTGTGTAAGACATAATGAACATTAGTAGATCAAAAAGAAAACAGTTCGTCAGTGTCTTTTAATAAACCTTTACACTTCTGTAACTACAGACCCAGCCAAATGAGAAATCACGATACCAAAAACGAAAAATGAAATGGGACACAGAATCCAAAAGATGACGATGGGAGAATGACAATTGCATACATCATATATAATTGATGCTTAAAAGCCAGGCACAAAATCCATGTGGGTGCCGATTGTATTAAATCAATATGTATTACTCAACTGTGTTCAAATTTCCACCCCAAAAGATCAAATTAACGTAATACCTAAAAATTAGATACTCCATTGTACTTTTTTAACTAGAAAAATAAACTTACCCTAACCCATACTATACTTGATCAGTGCTCCAACAGTGATCGCCCAGGATCCCATTTAATTACAAGTTTACAATTACCTAATTGGCAACTTCTTTTTGTATAAGAACTAGCATTTCACGCCTTATTATCTCCTCAATGCCGTGAGTGCAAACATGTCCTTAACAAACTTTTACTTGAATAAAACTAAAGGCTAATTAGCACAAAACGTCCCTACCTTTAGGGTTGATTTCGAAAATCGTCCCTACCTTTCATTTCTTGGCATTTATGCCCTTACCTTTAACATCTTTGTGCGCTGAAAGTCCTTTTCACATGTTTTGGACGATTTTACCCCTCATTCAAATAAAAAGAAAAGAAAAG